TGTAGTCCTGAAAACATTAGAAATTCTGAGTTCAATATGGAATGCCCCCCTAAAGTCAGAGTAGCACCAGCAATCTCGAGTTAACCTGAGTTAGCACTGAGCTTAAATGGTAGCGAAACCGTAAATCTTTTAATCTGTGCTACCAATGTTGTGTATTTGTGACTCACTGAATGCAGGGATGATTTTAGGCAAAAATAAAAGAGGCAGAATGCTGTTTTTCATCTCTTTTTCCAAACACAGAGCTCTGAGGTAGCTGTGTCCATGTTCAACATACAGTCTATATGCTTTTTCTCATAAAGCTAAAAAACAAACAAACATAAAAAAAAAAACCCAAAACAGCCCAGCGAGGTGTGGCCTAGTTCTGTGAATCACTTGACAAGAAATACTTTAAAATTCTTTTTAGTCTTATGTTTGTTTCTTATAGTATTACTACAGTCACACCTTTCGTACAAGGGATTTAAAAAGTATGAGTTAAGCAGAAGTGATTTTACAGTAAATGTGAACTAATTCATCTCATATTAAATCCATGTATTCCTTCTACGCTCACTCGCATTTTTGCGTCTGCCTAATTAAAGCGTGAGGCTTTAGCATATTGTGTAACCGCATTTGCTTTGATTTAAAAGAAAAGGCAAATTAAAAAACAAGTCTGTCTTTTTAGCCTTTTCGCCTGCAGTTGTGTGTGTAGCTACGCGACCTGCCTGCGATTTCCTGCTTTGGGTTTCCCTTTAAAAGGGGGCAAGGCTCAATGCTGGGAATTCACGTCATTTCGCCGTTTTACACACATCCAGATCAATGAGAGAGAGAGAGAGTGAGAGAGAAAGCGAGAGAGAGAGAGAGAGGTGTCCGTCGAGCTCTCTCTCTCTCTTCGGTCTCGCTCTTCCAGGAAGGGATTATTAACCAGCGCGCTGCCGACATGTGAAGGGAAAACACACGCAGACAAAAGAAGTTTTCACACCGACGACCACGCTATGGACCCGGCCAGCAAATAAAGGAAGGAAGAGGAAGAAAAAAAAAGGAAAAGAAGCGGGCTACATGAAAAAAACAACTTCTCCCACAAACACAAGCCGAGCAGTCGGGCTGCCGCTCGCGCTGCAGCTGTGCGGGTTTCTATAAGAAAGGAAAGAAGATAAAGAACAGCGCGCGACGGAAAAGTGGAGAGAAGTTGACTGGAGATAATGTCTGAATCCTCCTCCGCTGCGAACAAGGTAACACCGTCCGCTCACCCTCCCCTTTTAACGCACTCCCTCGTTTGTCTTCAGGAGACAATTTCAACTGTTTGGTTTGAGTCTCCGCTGCGTGTGATAGAGCCGCCAGGGTTGTATCACCTCCTGCAGACAGCGCCATTCAGTTTGTTTTGCTAGTCATCTGTTGCTCGCGGCTCCACGCTCAGAGTTCGCCTCCACTCTGCTCATGATTGGAAGAAGTCGTGACTGTGTGAATTACCGACGACCCCCCCAAAAAAGTAAGCAGAGATCGGGGGGCGAACGAGTTGCAACCTGCATGTATCTGTAGCATCAGTAAAAAAAAAAGCTTTCCCCCTTTAACTATATGAGCTGAAGGTTGGTGTTAGGACTGCAACTGAAGCAGAATTTAATGGATAAGCAAACGCTTGTTCCTGAGCTGAACTGAACTATTCATCTAAAGACAGTGTACGGTGGAGGGGGAATGGTTGATTTTTCCTGCCTTTTTTAACGACGAGGAATTAATCAAAAACAGATAAATAAAAAAAGGCAAAGGGTGCATTAGAGGTGCATGCATCATTATGCAACATGATTCAATGCAAATTATTATTTTTTCTGATAGCAACTGTTTGCAGGCAAATGCAGGCATTTAATAAAGTGCACCAGTTGTGACATTTTAGGCAGATACCAATACCGATATTTTATATATTTATTGAAAAAGTGTTTTTTATTCCCTGGGGTCTCCCAGGGAGAAGAGAAATATTTATAAAAAGCGACTTACATGTTTTAAAGGCCTTCACACAAATTTGGAACAGTTATTTTATCGACAAACATACAGCTAGCTAACTGCAAACAACAAACCGATACTGATGCTAGGCCAATTTTTTGTTTGTGTGTTTTGTGTTTAATGGGATATAAAATTAAAGGAATAAAATTATTGTCTGAAAAAATTAGATACCAACCGATTTATCTGTTGGCCTATACTGGGCTAAGTTAGCTATTTGCTGGTCTATTGGAATTTGCATTAAAAGCAGCTGATTTAAAAGAAAAATTGAAGCTGTGTCCGCACTGGAAGTGATTTGCTTATTGCGCATAGCTTTAAAGCTGGCGCTTGGTTACTTGTGGACATTCCAGGCTCCAGTTTTCTAGGTAAGCGTTTAACGCATTCACTACCAGGTTATAAGTCACTCGTGGTATTCTGTGTTCTCACTGATAGTTACTTTTATTGGTCGCCTAAAAGTTGAGCTTATATTCATTCTGCACTTTGAATACCTACAGCTTGTATACAGCTTAAAGATGAGAAACACCCTTAAAACGTGTTGACATTTTGTAGTGTGACCTCTAGAGGGCACGCTGCATTTTTAAAAATCTTTAAATCACCAGATAATTGGTATTGATTCAAAAGAAATAAGTGAACTATAAAGACTTTATTACGCTGTCGTCAGACATTTAGACAATGTAAAACTGATAATAAAAGTAAATGTCATTGACTGCCATCAGTTTTGGTGAATGCAGCCAGTATCAGCTGATATATCAGTGCGTCTCTAATATTTTGGCTTTTGTAGCCGGTGGTCATACCAGGTGTAAACAACTTAAACCCACTTTGTGCTTTCCAAGAGCATGTTGTGATCTGTGTGATCCATCGATTAATCATTAATGAAGATGATACACGGTTGCAGCATGAGGACAAGGAGACAATATTGATCAGCAGAGACTGAATGCTAAAAATAGCCGATTAACCTGCAACAATTTTCTGATCCGATTATTGTTTTTGTCACACTAAAACTGGCTTTGTGCTTTTATTTTTGGACATTAGTCAAAAATCCAAGTCTATCACTGTAACTGGGACATGTAATAATAGAAATATTATTTGAGGTGCCAAGGTCAGACTGAAATAGCTCAAAGCAATGCGCACTGTCCAGTAACTGAAAACGAAAAACAATGTTTTGTTCGTGAGGGATGTCTGCTCATTACTGAGTCTGATGTCAGGGCACGATTGCCGAGGAATGATCAGAACTTCCCTCTGAGAACTTTTACCGTCAGAGCGAGCGAGGACGACTCCCCCTCACCTTCGGCTCTGTCGCAAATCACTTCCCGTTGGTCCCAGAGGTCGCGTTTTCATAGACCCAGGCGAAGCTGTGTGAAGACGCAGGCAGCTGAATTTTTAGACAGCTGAATGTCAAGAGCAAGGCCTTCTGCCTCTGACACGAGGAAATAGAAGACTGGAAGATTATTGCTGGGGTTCCACAGGAAATTCCTGGTACATGTAGTTGTTGTGCAGGTCTCGAAGTAGCTGGGTGGTGACAACAAGCTGGAAGGTGAAACTGCAAGAAAAACAAAAACAAAAACAAACTAAAAAAACCCCTGAGCTTCATTTCCTCAAGAAACCTAGGTGGAATCATGCTTTGCAGGAAAGGGAACCAGTCAACAGAAAATTACAGTTAACTGGAAAACCTCATACCTTTAGCCTGCGTTCGACGCACGCCATAAACAGTAGCAGAGCTGAGTGGAGAATACAGCTGCTTTAACCATTTAATGTTGCACAGTGGTATTAATACAATAAAAGCAGATTTCTCATAAAAATGCACAAAATCTTTACATTCGAGCAGCAGAAACCAGTGAAAAACTCCCATTGTTGCCTGACTATTGACTGAGAAATTCTTATTCGATAGTTCATGTTATTCAGATCTTTGAAAGTCTCACCTATGAAAGACTAACCATGAAAAGGATTTTTGTGTTGAAAGGAAATAAGACATCATTTTGTTATTATGTCATTTTAAAGCTTTTGCAAACCGCAGTGAACCATCTGAAAGAAAACAAAGCAAATACACAGAATTCGCTCGCACGTCCGTACAAGGACGCTGACTAACAATTGTGTTAATTATGTCCTATCTAAAGATATTTATGTGTGGAGTGTCTAAATTCCCAGAAATCACTGAAAAGGATTGTTTCCTTGCAAACAGCGAAAACTCCAAATGCATGATGTTAAAGTCATGCATTTCAACATAACAACTTTATTGCTCTACCGTGTTGATGTGATTCATTCTTTTCTAGATTAGTCCAGCAATGAAAGTAATGCTCACGTTTTGACTCATCGAGTGAAAATGAAAACCAGAAATGCTGTTTATACTGGACAATTTCAGGATGATGCTTTTAAAATCTGAAAATTGTTCAAATATGTGCCATTTTTAACTGTTTCTGAATCTTTAATCCATGAAAAAGTAGATAGATTAGTCAGTTTGTCTTTAAACAGAAAACATGATTTCTGATGTAAATGCACTGTGGTCGTTGACAACCAAGAGCAGGAGAGTCTGTGGTCAACATCTTGTCTGTCAGTGCATTGCTTAGTTTATGACCTTAACTCAGTCCCGTGCAGCACATGTCCTAAAGCATGCATGGCATTCTGGGTATTTGGATGTCCAGAAAGTGACTTCACAGCTCAACTGGCCTGAGCATCAGTTTATCAGGCGCACAGTCTCCTCTGTGTGCCGAGGCTAGCCGTTAGTGTGGGTGCACGGCGAGGTGAGGCGAGTCGGCGTGGTGCTGTTTGGGTTCAGGGCCGGTGCATTGCAGAGCTTTGTGAGCCATGCTTTGTGTCTCTGTGTCTATTCATAGCAGGAGAGGAGCTCTTTCAGTCCTTCCGCGAACCCGCTGCCAAACTCTACTTCCTCCCCCGTCCATGCTCCCGCCGCGAGGCCAGCCAGCCGAATGGAGGACGAGGCTGCCAGGCTGCCTGCGCACCTGCGTGAGTCACACTCTCTTGCTTACACACACAAACACACACACACACACACACACAAAAGGATGACCAGTCACTCCCACATGCATCGATCAGCCGGTCATTTGAACAGGACAGATTGATTTTTGTCAGTGTTTTTGGTATCTTGCTCTGGAAATGTTTCCGCTTGGTCCTAAGTGATGATCTGGGAAACCAGATCTGAAGTTGTCCTCATAATTTGTTCAAAAATCCCCTGTCAAGGTGAGCTTTTTTCTCTCTCTCTCTCCTGCTGACACAGTTTTAACTTCTGGAGGTGATGGCATCGGAGAGTTTAGGTCAGCAAGCAGAAGTAATGGACTATCAAAGTGAGGACATGAATAAATAAAAATAGTTAAAACTCATCACATCCAGTCAGGGCAGCACACTCGCTATTATCACTGCATGAGTGCTGAGCTGGTCATGCTGTGTCTCTTAGCTGGGAGGCGTTGAAGCAGATCTGGGGTCAGGCTTTTAATCACACATGCTTCCACTGGAGCACAGCTGACTGACCTTCTGCACTGCAATAACAGCTACAGACAATATGGACCAGAGAACATGCAATACAAGGAACCGTGTTTAAATTAAGTCTGTTCAATACACAAGATCCTTACTTTACATGTTCCCTGGTCATTGAATTAGAGGAGTTCTTAAACATCTTTAAACGCAACATCCAAATAATAGGGGTGCAACGATACACAAAATTCACGGTTCGATATTTTTTCGATACAAAAAAACTGTTCATGCCTTTTTAAGTTGTCATTTATTAAAATTATAAATATATATTTTAACTCAAATGTACAGTTTTTAAATTTAATGTTGCTGAAACAACAAAGGGATAAAAAAAAAAAATCTATCTGATCCAGAAATCACTCATCTTTGGAAAAGAGAGTTTATTACAGAGAAATGTCTCTTTCCAAAATAAAAGCT